TTTGATTTAGGCTTTTAGTGCAATAGTTTAATTAATTCAAGTTTATGAAAGCACTTTTGTGGGATGTCAAAGATTATGAAGTGAAGTATATTACCTTTTAATTCTGTATTTAACAAATGGAGAGGAACTTGGTCAAAAATGGGGTTTTCTTAGAAACATGCTAAAAAATGCAGCATGCTAAAAAAGTCAAGAGGCAAATTTAAGGAGTTATTCCATCTGACGACGTATGAGGCTCGGAGAAATTTTTCCAAGAAACAAGCTTCTCTTTCTCCTACCAACCGAAGGTTCCGAACCGAAACATGTTTCCCTGAATCGATGTCCCAAATAGCGACGCTTTTAGTGTTTTACAATAGAGATTCGAGATGGAAACGTTTCGTTTAAAGCTGTGTTCCTCGTAGCTTTTCCCCAAAGAACTGCTCTTCGCGTAAGTCAACCAATCAGATATCTAAAAATAAAAATTCACGGAAATGTTTCTTTCGACGCCTCGTTGAGGGTAAGTAGCAGATGTAATAACAATTTTACATCAAATGTGATCAGCTGTTAGCTTTACTGTGGTCTCCATATTTTCTTTGTTTTATCTTTCCGAGTTTTAAGCTTTCGAAAAAAAAAAAGCATGAATATATAATCGAATAGAGGCTTACTCTAAATATTTTTGCAATATTTCTGAAAAAAAAAAAAAATGCAGCTTTGCATCCGTTATTTCAAAGTAAAATACAATTCAAATTCATAATGGATAATTGCATATAAACGTAGAACTCGAATAGTGTGTTGATCTTGTGTTCTTTTTGTATAGATAAATGAGTGTGAAATAGGATCATAAAACCAAAATTTGCCATAAAACACGCATTCCTATTTACCTGTAATAACTAAAGTCAAAATATTTGAAAGAGTAAAGACTGACTTTCAAATAAGGAAGCAATGATATAAATTATCAAAAAAGGAATAAAGATATAAAGCTTTCAAATAAGGAAGCAATGATATAAAGTTGTATGTAAGCAATAATATCAATATGCAAGTAATAATAAGGATGCCTTGAAGCATAATGCTGAACTACATTCAAATCGAGAAATTACAAAACGATTAACTGATGTATGTTATTTGTTGGCAAGATAAGAACTTTCATTTAAAAGTCATAATGAAGATGGGGATTCTCTTAATCGGAAGACCGGCTTGTCCAAAATACGATAATAAATTAGAAATTCATTTAAAATATAAATCTTCACTTCACTTAAAGGAACTTCCAACAAAATTCAAAGTGCTATCGTTGATAGTAATGGAGATGTAATACCGGATGCAATAAAGAAAGAAATAAAGGAGACTTCATTTTAAGTAATAATGTTATATGAAACTATTGATTATTAGAAACCTGTCTCAGATTTCTACTCTTTCTATTTCTGGAAGATGTCTTGGCATTATGGATATCAGTAGCGATCGATCAGCAAATGGTTTCAGTAAACATGTTTTCAATATGATTCTAGATTTCGAGTGTTAGAAAAAACTTATAGCTCAAGAATATGAGGGAGCGGCAAGATTTTCCGTTCACTTTAGTGATTTACATTCAGCTACAAAAAAGAAGTGCCCCAGTGCAATTCTTAGTGATTGCTACGCACAGAGACATAATCCAGTTTGCAAATTTCATTAAAATATTGCTGCGTGCGTACGGGTTCGTAATGGGTTGAATGCACACAGAACGATGAAAGCTTGTCAGGATTTATTTTTCAAAAAAAAAAAAAAAAAGTACGTTTTACAGTTCCGGAACTTTCGTCAAAAGAAGTCGCACAGCTCTTCTCAGAATAACAGAGTACAATCAGTAGTTACCACTTCAATTTACTAAGAACGTTAAACACAACGCAGTGCAAATCTCATCTAAAAAAAGTGAAGCTGTCACTGAAAGCTCTCAATACTCCGAAGTAACTCTAAATTAAAGAAGTGAGAGCTGATGCTCTCTTAGGGCAAATAAGCGTGCAAATAACCTTTATACGTCTCGAGGATCAAGAAACGCTTTCCAACAGTTAGGAACATAAGACGGAATCATGAGTCCAGAAATGTTAAAAAAGTGCTCAAGAATAAAACGCATAAAACGCAACTCATTAGATATTTTACAACATTGCCGAAGGACCAGATGATTGAGACACAGAGACTTCATGACCGCGAAAGATAACGCGTCATCATTGAAGGGTTCTTTTTCTTTTAAAAATTTTCAAATATATTTTCAAAACTGATAGACATCTCCTTTTCCTCTTTTTTATTAGCCCAAAAGGCGTTAGCCCAGATGGGCTATTAATTTCGTTTTGGCAGTTTCGGTTGATTCACTTTCTGCGTTGATCACTTTTCAAACTGTTGCCACCAAATATTAGAGCTCTTTGTTATATTTAAAGAAATGAATTCATGAAGAATCTGTAAAAGTGTATGTACGTTTTTCGCACTGTGAGAAAACACCGGCACCTAGAGCCGCCAAATTTTGATTAATATAATCCTCCACTGAATATGAGCATCTAGAAGCCCTAATTTGGAATTTGCTTTATTATCAATTTCATATTTTGTAACACTTTAAGGAATTTTTGATTAACAAAATCAACAATTTCAAAGCGAGCAATGGCTGCACTGAACGAAAAAAAAAAATTATCTCCAGCACTCGGTATCAGAAATCCTAAACATATGCTCATTTTAAAATTATTTTGCGATAAGGCTATTGAATTGTTCTGTCGCACTGTTTTGGATAGCTTGAACTATCTGAAAACTTTGAACTCATAGAAGCATCTTGAAAAGTGACAAAGTGAAGGCAGAAAATGATAAATTTGGAAAATAAGATGGTTTGGAAAATAAGATCATTATGAGGATCTGTTACTGATCAAAGAAACTCAAGCTTCTTCCTGCAAAATAACGATCTCATGCCAAATGGCCGAAAGATATGATATAATATGACATTTTCTGCTAAACTTTTGAAGGGGTACTAGCTAATATTAATTTTTGATAGAGTAGTTTCTGGTGCTATGAATTTTACATTGCAAAAACAATACTTACTTTCAAAACTTGGAAATATGTTGTTATAAACATTTTAGTCACATGGGTATTTTAAATTATATTTTTAATAGTGTGTTAGTATTTTTAGCTCCAGAATAGCAAATGCTACGTGATATAATTTTATAGTGAAAGAATGGAATCGCGTATAAAAGGAACATTTTGTGTCCATTCCTTTTGAGCTAACAGTTCTGCGTTTTGTTGAGATTGCTGAGTGTATTTACGATTAAATTTGATTATCGCTGTTTAAATGGATATAAATAATGCTCAGCGTTTTATAATCATTTTGGTAATCTGCGTAATTTAATGCACAAAAACATTTTCAACTGCTTATTTGTAACCGGTGCCAGGCTTTAAATTTTTAACGCTGTTATGAGATTCATTTAAAAGCTCCTACAAAATTTAATATTTTTAAGTATCATTGTTGTATACAATTCTTCAAAATAAAGAGCTGAAAGATTTACAAAACTAAATTCATCAAAAAAAAAAAAAAATATGTGTACACTACATGTCTTCCTTGCACGACCTGTTAAATTATACACATTTTTGCTGCATATCATTTAAAGTTATTTCTTCGAATTTCATTCGAGATATTTTTCTCATACAATTAATTCAGCTCTCACTTCGTGGCAAAGGAAAAATACATAAAAACTCAAAGAAACTTCATTTAAGTTGCCAAATACAGAGAAACCTGAAACATCAAATACACTTAAAAACAGTTTAAAAAATGCAATTAAAATTAGAGTTTAAACAAGCAATTCGGGCAGCGGGCAGGAAGACAAAATTGACGGTTCTCAAAACCGAAAGTTTGCTTTTGGTCGCCCTTGGCAAAAAGACATTGAAGTTGGTGCACAAACTAACTCACTATTCTACTAAGATATTTAAATGCAAGCAAGTGGCGCCCGTTAGGCTTGCACCACTTTTAAATTGTTGAAAATTCTACATCTATTGCATGTAGATTAACTATAGGCATAAAACCCTTAACAGGAACATAAGACCAACATAATTAATCACTTTTAAAGGAAAAACTGTAGAATTTACCAAAACATAAGAATAAAAATCTGAGCTTATCGAGTCGGGTAACAAAATGGGATATAGACATACATAGGCGTACATGTTTGGTGCTGCCAATTGCAAAAGGGAAGTGAACTACATGTTATAGCAGTCCCATATACAAAATTTTGAGCGTTGTGAGGCTGGTCATTTTTGACTTATGGAAGCTACATACATACGTACAGACGTCAGAAAAAATTCTCTTCTGAATCTATTTTAAATCGATTTTACAATGCGTTTTGAAAAAAAAATGCCCTTTATTGTTTCCGTACGTACAGATGTCACGTAAAAACATCATTCAGATGGATTCGAGAGCGGTCAAAATGGATATTTTCATAGTAAAATGAAGTTTTCAATGAATACGTCTTAGCTCAAGTGGCTGCAATAGTATACACTCCAGCTGACTAGCCTTCCCGTCGTCTGTGAAAACGTAAATGCTGCGAGCCGATAAGATCATCATAATTATACTACTAAATCAAGGTGAATATCAGTCCGAGATGATCATCCACCATATTAAAAAGAAAAAAAAATCCACAAGAGTTGACTTAATTTTCCCATTATTTTCCAGTTTCCATAAATTTGGTTTTAATTTCAATATTTTCCAAATAATCAACTGCCAAACATTGCAATTTATATAAAATAATGTTTTTATGCAAATTTCGATTAATAATTTTTAAGTATCATTACGTTTTATATCCGTCATTATCCTTAAATTTTGATGACCAGTGTACATACCTCAAGCTATAGAAAATAATGAAGCAAATTTTATTTTCAAATAAAATATTTTAAAAAAATTACTTAGGTATTATATTTACGCCCTCAGCATTATTACTAATCTAATTTTTTTTATAAAAGTTTAATTACGATGACTGTTTGACTGTTTGGTTGATATATTTTTTGAGAAGCAATGAATAAACTTAGCAATATATAAACATTTTGATTTATTACTTTCAAAGAAAGCAATGGTACACATAACTTTAACATATAAACATTTCAATACTTCGCTAACTAAAATCATTGGTATATTCATATTTTACAACTCTCTCTGGCAGTATCATTTAAACTTTCTAGAATGATTGACTGTTATTTGAAGTAAGTGATGTAAAATATAAAAGCATTTCATGAAATTAAAAAATGAATTGTCTCTAAAATTTATACATGATTTCAAGTAAAAATATTTATATTTTAAGTTTTGAATCCATCCTTTTCTTATTGATAGTGAAAAAAATTAATACTCCACAGAACTTTTATGGTCAAATACAAATTAACTATGTTTAGACATATGCTTCTGATTGTTTAGGAATATGAATAAAACTTAAAGTAATTTTTCACATAATTTTTACGGCGATGTTTATTAATACTATATGGTGGTTTACTGAAGAGAAATGTAATAAAATTTATTACTATTACATAAACTATATCTCATTTCACACACAATGCAGTATAATTAAATCTTACATTATAAATCAGAATAATAAGTATTCGTTTATGCTTTAATACATAGTATAAAAATATTTTACATACCTTATTACAATGACTGAGAAAATATTTTTGTGTAATTAAATATTTATATCGCAATGGTAATTGCTGAAAAAAGAAATAATGAATTTTATCACTGGGCTAGAACTTCAAGGGCAAAAATGTTATATATAAATCATCTGGAAACTTCTTTGGAAGATATGAACACTTATAACAAGCGAAATAGTTTCCACTATTCATAACGAAGTTAATTTTACACCACAATTATACTTATAAACAAACAGATAAAAAATAATTGCTTAAAATCCGTGGCAGTCAGTCATATTAGGTTTGAGTTGTGCACCACATAAATCCAAAGAAAACAGTCACTAAACTAATGTATCCAGAACATTCGCACCGTCATCACTGCTACTGTGAAGCGAACTCAAACCAGTGTCCGAATTACTGTCACCATTTTCAGGAACATCACAAGAAACGTTTCTGTCCATTGAAATGACTTGTATAGCAGAAAATTCTTCCTGCAGCCTCATATTATCTTTGTCCAATCTGTCCAAATCTAGTTTCAAGTGCTGTAAATAATAATGTTTGTCCTGAATGATTTTTGTGCAATCCAAAAGCGTCTGTTCATTTTGTTGTATGGTTAATTGTTGAGTTTGATTGATTCGCAGTAACCTTTCAATGTCGTATTTGGTTCGATTTAAAATCTCCTCCAACCTTTCAGGACCTGCATATGCTATTTCGGGATTATCGTCAATAACTCTACACTCTGTGTTGCTGTCTTTCATCTGTATACTCTGCTGGATTTTGTGTGTAAGCTCTTTAATAGTCAATTCCTCTTGATGTACTTGGTCGCAGATTTGAAGAACTTTTTCATAGAGTTCAATACAATGGTCCAAAATATCACAGGTAGTATTGGTAGTGTTTCCAGTTTCGTCCCCAGTGTTACTACCGTTGTTGCACGCACTAGAACTGCTAGTATCGCCTTCGCTAGACTCAGCTAAATATGTATCGAGGACATAGTTTACACCAATTTGATGCATTCTTTGGGTGTGAATCTCTGTCTCGATGACTTCTATCTCCTCGTCTTTTTCTCGCAGTCTCTTCAGCTGTGCGGTAATGGCTTCGTTTTGAGAAGAAATGAGGTTTCTCAGTTGTTCCTCTGTGGCAGGAAATTGATCGTCGTCGTCTAAACAACAACCACCGCTGCCGTCGTCTTCCGACTCCGATCTTAGCTTTCTTGGATGCCATGTTTTCGCGGATCTCGTGCTTACCTTCCGACGATGAGATTTGATATCTCGTGGTGTCGATGACGAAGTCTGAGCATAGTGTGCCTTCTTTAGAAGAAACCGGACATTACATTGCTCCAGACCCCAAGTGTTCCACACTTTAAGGAGCCGGGAGCGGGGATCCAGAGGTCTTTCCACTTTGTGCCAACGTTCGACTATAACGTAATGTTTGTGATCGCGATGAGACTTCCCACCGCTCTTATAGTGATGATGATGATGATGATGATGATTCTCGTTGGTAGAAAGAACCGCTTTTATGATATCCTCACAGGTTGTTTGCTTTGTGACGCCTGTCACCCACTTCTGAAGTCCACCGATCCAGAGTGGAATGTCTGTGCCCATTCCTCTCGATCAGCACCCAGAAGGAAACCTGTTAAAAACAAAAACAATGCTCAGAATTAATCGTGTTCGAATTGTTTTAACGATACGTAATCAAAACAATTGACTTCTAATTAGATTTCAGAACAATTGATAGTGAGTGAACTTTGTAATTACTGTTCTACTGCCAGATTAGAAGGTTCTGTTTATTCAAGACACTTCTCATTCTGAAAACGTACTGAATGCCATACTTTTTCGCAGCTCAAAAGCTTGTGATATATGGCCTACTTATAGTACCAAAAATATATATATCGAACAGAATTACAATCAGAATAATTAAAAATGTATTTAAGTTTTCTCACAAGATTTTGTTAAAATAAAATAAAAAGGGAATATAGGTAAAATGTACTGTAATGCAGCGTTTTAGTGAAAAGGTAACAAATATAAAAAAATACTAAACTTTCATTAGTGCACATTTTTCGATTACTTTAAATTTGAATAAATTAGTATGCATAAACCATTTTTAATAAAAAAATCATTAAATCAAAGACAGTAAAACAATCAACAATTAAAAACATTAGAATATGCGAAAGGAAATCACTTCAGGAAAATGAAATTTGATGTAAATACCTAGAGAATAATCAGCTAAACTGCAATCGATTTTGTCTTTAGAAGATTCTGTAAACCTTATAATTTGGAACCTTGACGAAAATTATATTATTATATTCTAAGACACACCTCTTTTAAAAAAAATCATTCATTGCAGACTTATTCTTCAAATTAGAACAATATTTTAAAATATTACTTTTTTTATTTGCTTTTAATTAAAAAGTGAACTAAACATATTTTTAATGCAATTTACTACGAAACGTTGAATAACATTAAATCAATATATAAATAATTAACTTTTTCTCAATATCTTACTTTAAAGGCTAATTAGAGCTTATCAAATTAATGATTTTTATTTACATTTTGCGGTAGTTCAAGGCATTTATTTCCTACAAACGATTCAATAATTTAATAATTAAAGTTAAAATAACATTTTAATATGAATGTTGGCGATAAATACGAAAAATATGAAAGCATATAAATAATAGTGTTCTGAGCCATAAACTAAAGTACAAAAGTTTAAAACAATAAAAAAATTCAATTTTTTTTTAAATTTAGAAAAAGGTTATAAAATTTCAAGCTTAAAGGTATTTTAATTACTGATGAATATTCATGGAAATATATATAACATATATTCTAATTATGACAGCAGAATTAAACTTGGTTTAGTGGTACAAATCGAAAACAAGGACACTTGCGCGCAAGAAACGTTCATTGTTAGATGGGTAACACTAGTTTGTACAATTCAGTAGTAATTCCACACAACCCTAATTTCTTCATTATCTTTCGATAATTTTAACAGTAACTTTGATTATTAATTTGCTTTACAAATCTTAAGCTACTGTTCTATATAAATATAGATTTTAACAAAATCCATGTGTTTTATATTATACATGTGTTAATGTATAAAGAATGATAAATATATTAAGGAGTCATGTAATTTTAAAATGTCGAAATATCTAAAAAATGCAACGCATTTTAAGGTTCAGAATATTCATAACTGGTTTATATATATATGCTGCGCGCAGCATTATATAAGCAAATGATCTATAAAATGCTGCGCGCAGTACATATATAAAGTGATATTTCAGCTGATTTGTTTTTTCAAAATGGAAAAATAATGTACAATTAAAGTGACCTATGTTAAAAATGACAGAATTGTATTTTCTTAAAAATAAATTTTTTATATTTTTATTTTCTTAACTCTAAAAACAATTATTTTTCAACATAGTTAAAAATAATTCCTAAAACTTTTAGGCGAGAGGCATAATAATTGCTCATTTTAAACTCTTTTCAGGTTTATAACAGTTGGCCAATGGTCAATTTGCTTTGAAATTCTGGTCAATGGTTTTTAAAGAAATCATGTACATAAATAAAACATTTATAATTATGAGAAAGATAATTTAAAGATATAATCATCTTCAAATCCTGTAAATGCATATTATTTCCTTAATAAAGAAATATAAAAATGAGCTTGTAAATTAAAATTTGTCATTATTCAAGCCTTAAATATGCATGATTCCATATTTAAGCAACTATATACTGCGATGAATTACCTTTAGGTGTTTCAATGAGAGTTAAATTCATTTTACTTAAATATTCTAAAAAGAACTCTGGAAGAAAACTTATAATACACAGGAAAAAAAAAAAAAAAAAAAAAAACCACCCAGAATAACAGTCAAAGCAGTAATGGATACTGCTTTAAAAAAATCATAAGATTGACTGATTGTTTCTGACAGGCTGGGCAGAAGTGCCGCTTGTTGTCTATAACTGGTTACAACTGTTAGAAAATTTCATGTTCCTGTAGGTATAATCTGCGCAAATGCTACTTGTACAGAGCTACCATGTGCGCAAGTGTCACATCACCTTAAATTTACAGGTTAGATTTATTCATATATGAACAAGATTTTTAATTCGCAATTTTGAAACAAATGTTGTAAGAATTTAATGTACAGAATGTATTTAAAAACTCAATGATTTACCATATCAGTTTTTACACAAAAGTTGTTTTGATACTAAAAAGTGACAAAATTTGGTACGATGGAAACTGTGAAAGCTCGATTTTTAAAGCCTTATTAATAATGACTGGTCCTAAATTTGTTCTAAAGTTAGAAGAAGTACAGCCATTTACCTAAATAGAAAGTATAAAAGTAGATGCGTAATGGAACGGGATAATAACTTGGGTGAGAGGTAAAGTTTTATACCTGAAACCGATTTTAAAACGTGAGTAATACACAAAAGTATGTGAAATCCCTTTCTAAAGCTGGACTTGAGTACTTCAGGTTTGAATACTCTTTGCTTGAAAATGTTATGCGTTTATTATACATGAAATGCTCAACAGGTTCAACAACGCCGCGGTAGGTTTATTAATATGCACGCTCAACAACGGCCGAGAGTTCGAATCGCTTAACACTGGTTGTTCGACCGGGATTCAAATTAAGGTTGGCGAATTAAATTTATAATTGCTACATTCTTCTCCATTAAGAGAAGTATGTAGTAACGGCATCAAAGTAAAAATCAGTAAGTCGATTTCTATACCATTTTTTCATTCAAAATAAGATGATTCTCAAAGATACGCTTAAGTTGCATAATCACATCTGAATGCAGCAAGTTTTTTAATAACTTCTGTCGCTATATGCCAGAGATTTTCTAGAAGCATCAGTTGATTTTTAATTTTTCTAAAATCTTAAAATATATCATTAAATTTCTTTGAGAAGGCAGTTAAATTGCTGGAAATTATCTTACAGTTTTTTAGAGGAACATTCTTTTTGTAAGAATTTTCAATAATTCCCATTTTAGGCCGGATATAAAATCTCGCCAGACCATATGTCGTAAATAGACCGCGTGTTTGGTATGGATAATCTAAATAAATAAACTATTTATGCAATATATATTGTTTTATCTGTTTGAATAAGGCAAAGCAGCAGCAGACATAGGTGTAGTTGCATGCCTACGTATATGGCCATTGGAAGAAGCTAAACTACAGGCACATTTGCATTTACCAATTATTCAACACTTTGTGATTTTTTATACATTCACTTCAGTCTAAAAACACAAATCAGTGACGTGATTGAAGCAATTTATTTGTTTGTTTGTTACGAGGTTAAACATTTCTAAACATTTAGCAGTCCATCTAATAGTCACTTTTCACTTATTTCGTGCCTAAGACTTAAGTAATGAACCGAGCAATCTGAATCACGTTATTTCATTTATCGAAAATGGCAATGGTACCTTTTGTTCCAGTACGGAAGGATGACGGCTTTAATAGATACTACTTTACATTCCAGATGTGTGTAGTCTTGCGAGCCAATCGGTGTTCGACAAACGATTCGTCTTGTTCGTTGAAAAGTTCATTGCACTTGATCACGCCCGTGGAAACAATAGTTTCAGAACAAAAGGTGATATTGGAAACAATAATAACTCTCGAATTTTCTTTAATTTACCATCTTTCTCTCTGATTTCGAAGTGATGAAGATTGATCACCCTTATCTGAGAGGAAACTGATGCTTTTACAAAAAGCAACAAGCTTTAAAATTAAAAGAAAAATTCCCCTGAGGCTCTTTTAGAAATTTAACCTTTAAAAAAACAACTTAAAAACGTTTAAAAGGTATCCATAGAAGTAAAACAATTTCGCTTTCTTTATTGTTCTATAAAATCAAAAATTTCACCCCTGCAGTTCTAACTTAATTAATTGCTAAGAATGTTATTTCTGTATCATAGAGAGAAATGTGTGGCTCAGGTTTTGTATCCCGAAATATTGATCTTTAAAATATATTTACGCTTACAAAAATTCTGTAAACTGCTAGTGGTAAATCAGAGAGAGAAACGTGTAATTCAGGTTTTATATTCCTAAATATTGATCTTAAAAAAATACAAAAACTTTTCAAAACTACTAGCGGTAGGATTTCACAAAAGTTACATTCATTTTTTACATTATTTACATAGAGTAAAAGTTTCAAAAAGTGAAATACTTATTATACTTTAATTGATCAAAATCAGAACATTTATGTTTTTAGGGACAAAATTGGCAAACAAATGTCTGAGAAATATTTTCAAGGAATTAATGAATTATGTTTTATCGAAAAGGCAGTATCAATCACTAATAACTTTCGTTCTGCAGCTGTTCCATATTTCTTTCTTTTTTAAAAATTTTTAATCTTTTGAAATGTGTGGATGATAGTTATGGGGAAATGACTTAATATGAAAAAAAAATGTTCTTGAAAGTCTTAATATGAAAAAAATGAAGATTTTGAACATAAAATATGATATTTTTGTTTTAATGAATAAAAACGTAGTGAATATTTTGTTATTTCGGATTTTTCGTTTTTAAGAATATACAGATTTATATTTTAATTTGACATGATCCTGTCAACTATCGTTTTGAAAGCGTTCTCGTAAAATTATATACCTTTAAAGAAAGGCTTTGTATTATAGCGAAAGAAG